TGGGACCAGAAATGGTAGAGTGACTAAAAAAACTAACTTAGAAAGGGGATGGATAATAACGAGTAGGTCAACATTTGAGTGAAACACAACAGACAGAAAGACATGGATCATAGTGGTCGATTTTATGCAGTACCACTCACAGTTTTTTATCATTTCATGAGTCCTAAGAAAAAGGTATGGAATTATCTACACAGTGCGCAACAAAAGTTGAGGGCCAACTGGAATGAATATACTTCAGTCTTAACACCTTTAACTTACTTCTAACCTGATCAAGTTACAGAGATGTGATTTAACACATCGAGATCATTTGTGCATCACCATCTTCAATATGTGTAATGAACATATCAATCTATGAAATGTTTTCGCGTCTTCAAAAGACTTGAGCCATCACTTGGAACCAATGTTATAGACGTCCTTGATATAGCCATGGACAATACATCATGTTCAAAACGTAACCCAATGCATCTTGCATCTAGTAAATCAAATGAACTGAAACTATATTCTACCACCGCCTATGTTTTACTCTTATTTTGAAAATCGGCTAACTACCAGTCGAAGTATTCATTTAGGGCTGCATTTTATTAGAACTGTCACTGGTATACTTCATTTTGAAGCAACCAAAAGCATTTAGGAGGCAAGAATGTGGTTTCAAATGTTCAAAAACTAATGTTGTTGTTTGTATTATCCTATCGTGACTTAGCGCTCTGACGTTTAAACTGATCGGTCCTGGGTTCAAGTCCTCGTAAGAGCAACATCACTCACTAGGGGGCACGTAGTTCCAGTTGAAAAGTGCAAAATAGCATAAAACACGCGTCCTGGATTCCACTGCTAGCCACTGTCCATCAATAATAGATAATTGTACAAAAATTGTTTTGAAAGTAATTGAACGATTCGAATACTTTCAAAAATCTTCATAAATACAAGAATATATTATTTGAAAATCTGAAGCTCAGATGTTTACAGCAAAGGGAATATTAATTTGTCTTCAAATGAGATTACAATAATTTGGATGAGTACGTCCATGGTTTATATTACGAAAGCAGACTATTCCATTTCTACACTCCTACTGATCAGCATCCTGTGAACACATTAGCTGGATTCAGCCTTCATATATTGTGTAACCAGATTTGAAGAAAGAATGAACACACACCATTTTCTTAACGTATCATTCACATTATACACATTTCATCTGGTACTCATCAAGAACATTTCAGTTGACCATCTTTTTTCAAAATAAAATTTGAGTGATTTTATTTTCTGAATTTCGAAACTCACAGAGTAAAAATTGCGTTTTCCAGAGATACTAGAGTTTTTCAAATTATATACCTAGAGCGCTTAGGAAATTAAAACAGTATGTTGATTGAGTACAACACTGCTTCACTTTCTGTGTTTTCGGGTCATATTTTCCAGTTTCTAATCAAATGTGGGTGATGTTTATATAGGGACTGTAACTTTTATAGCAAAACGCTCAATTTTATAAACACAACCGATTCATCTTACAGAAATTTTTATCATGACTTGAATTTTTCCAAAGAATTAACAACACCTGTGGTCTTTATATTATCAACGATAGAAGCTCTGTCCAAGAGTTTTTCTTTAAAATTATTGAAAAAATCAGGCGGCTTTTCAAATTATTTGCTTACAGAACTAGAAGTATATGGAATTTATTCCATACGTTTACCATCGTTACATTTAGTTACACTAAAAAAGTGTATTTTTATTATTATCCGGCATATACAACAGGGAACAATAAAAACTACCCTAGCAACTATTGCAACAACCAATCATCTTTAATTTTTCTATGAAAAGTAATATTTTCATCAAAAACAGGAGAACCTTAATTATTGCTGAATTAAGTACAATTATGCCTCCGGAGTAACTCACGCTTAACATAACCGGGAAAATAAACCAATATTATTGTATATTTTAGCATATTGCATGTGTACAAATATGTATGATTAGACTGTAAACTTTTCGTAAACATACGCATTCGTGGAGAGTTTACAACCTGGGCTATTTTGAGATTTACATTTCCAAAGTTTTAGGAAAAGTAGGTGTTTTATAAAAGAACTCAAATGGCTTTATTAAACTATTATTTTTGTGAGAGGATATATATTCAAAGATCTGTCACCGGAGATTTGATCTGATGATCGTTTAAGTAATACTTTCGACCGGACTACCTCGAATAAATTTAAATAGGTAGACTATATATACCACAAGTAACGATGACTCTCCTCGCACAACCAGATGACATATCATCTTATTAGTGATGAGGATATTTTGAGCTGCTGGCCAGATGCCTTACCAACAGCGCGTATTTTGTTACCGTTAGTTGGATATCCAGCTTACTGGATCGTTCTGATGACTATAGTATTTCAAGTCACTGTCCACATCCTTGATAGAGGTTGCATATTCAAGCCGTATTTCAAAACTCAGGTTTTCACGAGACAGAGGAGTCTAGTTACACGACCAGTAACCTTCTCACAGTTCTCCGTTGTGGTCAGATATCAACCTGTAAACCAACTCGTCGTCATTTCATCCAGTGTTAGAGTTTTGAAGTGAAGATACTTACTTAGCGTGGGCAGTGGTGAAGCTAACCAAAAGTACATAGGCCTTCCGGGGTAATCTAACCGGTAAGCTCAGAGCTTATACCATAGGCGACGGGATAGTGTGGGTCTCACGGTATGTGCAAGTTATGATGAAGGTTGTATGGTATATGCCCATTTCTCTTTCGAGTTGTATGCTACACGGACCATGTTTTCTGGAGTCCTTGCCTGGATTTCTAATAAACGCTTGTAGGTCACCGACGAGGTCTACCCTACTAACTTCATCAGAGGTCACTATCGAATGCTGAAAGCAATGAAACTTGTACCATCCCTACTGTCTATGGAATGGGTTTTGGAAGTAGTCGACGACTGACTCCTGAACCTAGTTAATTGTTTGCTAATCCCACTGGCAACAAAGACTGAAATTCCTAGTTGCCATCAACTGTCTATGGTAGGAGTGGATTTAATATTATTTGAGTGGTGAATGTGAGATGCGGCTGTCTTTATCGAGATAACTCAGGTTGGACAATCGCCGACGTACTTGTTACGGAGTCAAGGTTAGATACCCTGAAAACTAAGGCCTTCTCCGTTAGTAGAATTCCACAACATGTTATGCATACTGTTTGCGTGCATATGCGCTTAATTTAAAGCTATCTTAATCGACCGCAACGTGTGGCTGACCGAGAAACATGTGACGTTTGCAGAATCGGAGTTGGCGATGATTGAGACTTCGCAGACTTGGGATGTCTCAGTCACTTTACTCAATAATTTATCACTCACTCTAAGCTCTAACTTTAATTTATTGCGGTTTGAGAGAAATGATAGAAAACTTGATTATGGATGATGGAAAACAGTTTTGTATCAGATATTCATATGGCAGCTAGATGAAATCCTTAGGAAAGTCAGGGGCAATCTCAACATCAACAGCACCGAAGCATTGAGTTCCGTAAACTTTTATAGGACAGTTATGCTTTTGGATTGCTAGATTGTATTGATCAGTTACCTGTCAACTGAAATACGCTGTCCGTGGCACACTGCACTTCAGGATAGTCTCATGTGTTTTTGGTCAGACTACTCACTTGATATTGTACAAAAAAATAAAATATATCAAGATATTTTTTCCGATAAATATAATCCATATTTTTCAAAAACGTTCGTAATTATACACTTATTATCACAGATCTGAGATTAATACAGCTCTTCTAACTAATTTTGACAGCTTAATGAAATTGGTTTTTACAAATAAATTTACTATGGATTCTAAGGTGTTAATTCATTTTACAGTATTGACCACTTTGTTGTGATTAGTGAAAGCTAGTCGGAATCACAGCTTTCAAGGATGTCAGCTTTCTGTAAACCAAAACTTATGTCACTAGGATAGTCGAAGTTGCTGAAGCATACAAAATTTTAGTAAAATACAGGCTCAGTTTTAAAGTTATTTTCAACAAAAGATTGTCTCATTCATAACTTATTTATTATACCTTTTTTCTGTTTCATTTAGCCTCTCAGCGTGCATTTGTTGACATAATTATGGAAGAGAAATCTACTAACTGTTGCATGTTTCACATATTATATTTTATTTCAAAGAGTAGAAATGAATAAAAAATGACATCTCAATAATTTTTGCAGGAAAAAATGTATAATAATAATATCTTTGCCAGGTGATGCGAATATGAACTTGTCAAATTTCACCCATAAACATATTTTCTTTAAATTAGAAACTGTTTCTATATTCCATCAAAAAAAGTATTTTCAAATCTCATATACCCATAGATTGTTCATACATACTGAGTGATTTCTATGCATGTCAAGCATTCCACCAGGTAAATGCTTTGAGAACTGTTGACTGAGCTGTACTTGGGAACTCATTAGTTTATCAATGCGTATAATAACAGTAAAAGCCCAACCAACATGAAGCTAACAATAGCTATCACTGCACATTTAGAGAAGAAGCCGTTGTACAACTAATGCACAACAGTAGGCACTTAATTTGTCATCTTTCTGATGAGGGTGACAAAAGAGTGTTCACTAAGCGCACGAAGTCAAATAAACACTTGGACCATCAAATTTAGTTGAAGCCCGTTGATATTCAGCTAATGAGTTCGGATGGAGAGACCAATACTTTCTGGTTACTGCAAATTCATGATGTACTATACGGATCACATAGTATAAGTACTAAATATCTCTCCCGGTCTACAAGCTAGACCACACTGGTCTCAATTTCACGCAAGGGAATAGAAGTGCACGAAGATGAGTCTTAAATTGGGATTGAACATCTTCTTAGGGTTTCTCATTCTTTACGTTTTGCTTCCTTACTTCCGTTATTAGGGAGAACTATCTACTTGTGAGGTGGTTCTATACCCACCATATATTCGGACAATAAAATACTCTATCCCTCCTTCTGTATATATATGCGGAAAAAGCCCACAAAAAGTAATAATTTAGACAACTTACCAGCATAGAACTGACAATAGTCACCAATGTAGTCTTGAGGACATCTAAAAAAAATATACGAAAAGAGGAGCATGTTTTCAATGGAATTCCAATTAAGAATATTGCATCTTAAATAATATATTTATTCGAAACGTTTTGAAATGTATAATATTAACAAAGTAGTATTTTATCACCCCTGTATTTATATACACATAGTTGATATGAACAGAAGTGAATGACAGTCAAAAATGTTGTGCTGAAACACAAAATACAAATGATTCTTTTGAGTCTCTAAGAGCAGAAATTCAGATTACCGCACTTATCAATCACCACAAAGTAACAGGCATCAATCTATCCAGCTCTAAGTGTTAAATGGTTTCTGGGGATGGGCACAGTAGCTTGAAAACGAAACTATGAAAAAGCAAATCGCTGCTATGCATTTTAAGACAAATTATTACAGACTGTATGCAGAAAGTAATGATGGTTATGGGCTTGCAGTGGTTTAAATGACACACGTTCCATAGAGTTGGCTATTAGGCCACAGAATAACGTTGGTCACTCTTCAAGCAAAGGGTAGTGTTTTGATGCTATAGTTTTTTAATTCTAGTTGCTTTATGCCTATAATATTCAAATACAAAATCTTCTTGAGATCTTGTGAAAATGGGAGTTCATTTACAAATAAAAACTAGCCACTGTTATTAATAGTCTCCGATAAGGATCGATATTAAGGTAATTTGTTTTATTTTTATCTATCCATTGGTGTTTACACAGGAAATACTATTCTCCATTCAGCTCACTTATCAGTAGTATTGCAACCTATAGGCTCATTTTCAGGGCAGTAATGCATAGGCTGAAAAAACGAATCGAAATTTACAACGTTGCAGCTAATAATTTACTAATAGAAACCGAACCGCTGCTAAACACTGAAATCAATTTCTGTAGTTGGTCATGGGAAAGCAACCAGCTTCATGTTTTCTAGTCCAGAGTGCAGGCCGAACTCTGTCGATTATATTTACAACGTGACCATCAAGCTAGTAGGCTCAGCCTCTCGGAGCACATTGGTAGGTCTCAGTTGGTTGGAGGCAATCGACGAGAAGCCTTGTATCTACGTTTCGTGGTTGTTGGCATTTGTCAGCATGGCGTTTGTGCAACTCCAGAAGAACTTATGTCCCGCCTTAGATTCGAACCAGCGTCATCCAGAGATTTGTCAGCCCATTACAAATATCATGGATTGAACTTGGTCTGCAATCCAAACTAGGCAACATAAAATTGGTTGCTCCCTCGTGACCAATCAATGTACAATATCCAGCCAGGCCTACAGTAGGTCAGTGGTAACATCACTGACTACAAAGCTGGGTGATGTGGATTTGAATCTCAGGCGGGACATCAGTTCCGTCGAAGTTACAGAGACGTCTTGCTGACGAGTACCAACAGACACGAAACCTGGGTCTAAGGCTTGCTGTTAATTGCCTACAACCAACTAACATTCACTTACATGAATTGTTTAACTCAGTTTGCATAGTATGACAAATGAATATGTGAAAAGACTCGTATAACTTAACTCGTTCACTGGTAAATATGTCGCATCACGCTGTGCTGTAATCATCACTAATTTCAGTACTTTGTTGGCTGCTAGACGACTGCATCATTGTATGGTAGGATATTCTTTATATACTGACGTCAGTTGGACAACTTTTGAAAACCTGGGAGCAGTGGACACCCATATGTTCCTAGTTTGTGACGATACACACCATCGATCTGGGTGGGATTCGGACTCAGGACTTTCAGGTTTCACAGAAAACCCGTTAAACATTCATCTTTTCAATTGAAATTTAATAGTCCACAGGCTCCTACTTCTATCTGTTCGTGATATTGCGCAACTATCACCCAAAGCCTTCAGTTGGCATCCTCTTCACTTCCAATTGATCGACCCCATAGGTCATGACTTTCAGATGTCCATCTCAAAACATGTCACTAATGAGCATTATAAAGTTATGCATTTTAGTGAATATTGCCTAAGAATTAAAGTTCCCATAAACCTCAAAATAAATTAAATGATTCACAACCTATTGTAACTAATCGATGACTTACAAAACCGTTACCTTGTGGACATGTAATATACTGGGGATTTCGACAAAGTTGACATGATCGAATGGTGGTAGTCATCATTATCAAATTAGACTAGATTTTAGCATGTGGCAATATTTGGGTGTAATTATATATTGACAAATTTAAAAGTGAATTATAACAAGCATCACTGACTGGGAATTCTCCGTTCAACATGGTATTGTATAAAAATACGAATTAAGAGTAAATTGTTAATCACATTCATTCATTATTTACAAATAACCCAAATCATCGATAAGCGGTTAAATAAATTCAGACATTATTTGTAGAGCTAATGAAACATGGAATATACTACTGAACCTGATGATATCAAAAGTTTACCAAAAGAACCTCTTTTGTTTTGTCATGCCAAAAGTATTACTTTTATTGTTGCAAAAACTACTAGATAAACGAAGAGTAATTAATTTGTAATGACCTCGCGAAATTCAACTGTCTACTGGTCACCTGACAGATGAGCATTCTCTTAATATTTCTAACTGAATCCATAATAACGGATCACCTAGTTGAAGAACCAATTCAAATGAAGCGAAATGCCTTCTACAGATCAAAAAATCAGATTATTATTGATTTAACGAACAAAAGCGTTTCCAAGTGTTCGGTGTGTCATTGAAACAAGTGTAAAAAGAAAAAAATTCAAACTTATTTGCTTCATCGGTTAAATGAATATAAATACCAAGTTTGGCGTTAATGAACTTGAAATGACTTTATCATTCTCTTTGTTTGATAAAAAAAAAGTACTAAAGAGATGGTTTGATTTCACTCAAACAGACCTCTAACTTCATCTTGCCGTCATACACATACATATAATCACACTGAAGCATTACTTAATAACGAGTTTACAAAGGTCCCCGAAGGTTTCTTTATAGTGAACATTATTACAACAAGTTCCTCAGCGTATTACATCTAACACTATATTGATGGTAACTGGAAAGTTAGCAACTTGATATTGTCTAGTCCTAAGTGGTGATCAAGTTCAATCGATCACTTTGCATGATGGGCACCAAGCTGGGAGACTCAAGATCGCGCTGTGCTCTTAAAGATGTTAGTTGAATGGAGGCAATCAGCAGAAAACCCTGGACCTAAGTTTCATGCTTCTGCTCACCCATCAGCGAGGCATATCTGGAACCTCAAGGGAACCAATGTGTCACCTGAAATTCAAACTCGCGCCAGCCAGTGCTACAGACAGAGACGTCACCACTGAGTTATTCGGACCACTGCCTTACAAGCATGCGTCTAGCAGTATTAAATGGATCTGTGTTGCTCAGATAGTCCAGTGTAACTCTGAATAGCCTCTGCAACTAGGGTTTCTATAGATACTGCAATAAAAATTTAAGAAACGAATGCAAAAATCAAGGTAGTTCGAGGAAATCGATAGAGTTAACTAAGTCGAAATTGTAACGAATAGACAGCACGAAATCAACTTACGCAGATACACATAATAACAATAGTCACATACTGTACTGGCATCTGCATGATGCGAAAATAGTTTAATTTCGATTAAAGCCTAAAATGAAACCTCTTCTTTTGTACGCAACAGAGTGGTTGATCTTCTAGTTTTAAAAGTATACACTAAAACACATTAAAAAAATCTAACCGTTGGGAAATGAAATCATAAATCTCTGGACCTCTTGTTGAGTGTTGTGTCGAAAATGAGTTATGAGAAGTTAGTGGCAGTTTTGTTTGTAACATGCTGTCACTAACCAGGGATGAATGGTAGCTTGTGTGTCGTAAGATTAATCTGCTGACCACCTAGTAAGCAATCAGATATTTCGTTCAAGTTAATGGGAACCATTTTCATGAAGTTAAATCTGAATCCTATTCAAGTTATCAAATAGACTTAAATATCTCAGTCCTTTAAGATTATGGTGTACTGAACAGAGACATAAAGAAAGATCCAGTTACTTCCTTCTTATCGAAACTGAAGTTCAAGTTTAATTGACAAGCGTGATAAAAAGTGACCACTTCAAAAATAGAAATGCTGAACACTGAACATTTAGTCTTATTGTTTAAATTTGATGACTTGCTTCCTTTATAAACAGTCGTATTGTGTTTGTTGTTCATATGTAGAAATTAAAAACCGTGCAGTCCTAAAGCATTACTGCTCGTTACTTTTCAGTATTTCGCTACAGTAAGTAAACAAAGATGATTTATGGGTGATAGCACCCATACTAACGAGTGTCTCCGTAATCTCAAGGTAGCAGCTGATAATAATCTGACCTATTTAATTTGGAAGTTGGTGAGGAATTATCTACTGATATATCAGGTTGGTATTTTTTTTTATGGAATTACATCAGTTAAAGACTTGTTTTGAAAGGTGATTTACCAAGTTCTAATGAGAAGTCGTGACCGGTGCAGCTAATCAAGTTGGATATGAGGACAGATACTCAGCAACAGCATTGGATGTAGACCGCACTAAATCGTGAACTGACAGAAGTAGGAAATATGGACCACTGGATTCCGACTTCGTGGTTCAGTGGTAAAGTGCTGGCCACGGAACTTGAAAGTTATGGGTTCAATCCGTGGTGAGTCATGAATGCGCTTAGCTGAGAAGTTTCATACGCGAACAGAATAGTGGCTGTCCAATTCTCTAAGGCTTCCAGTGTTCCTCCAACTGATATCAATCCATGATGAATATCCGCCTGGAATCAATTTCTGACTGCATGAAGCTAATTGAAACCTGAAGGAATAATGCATAGGTTCAAGGTGTTACACTGAGGAAATATGGAGTTGTGAGGATCGTTCAAGAAGTAAGGAGCTGGTAAAACGGAGTCGAACAGGATGTATAAAACTGGAAAAGTATAACAAGAGCCAAACTTTTGCAAAATGCAAATTAGTCGTCACATATTTAAGCTTAATTCTTTGTTATCTATTGGGACTGGAGTGTATGAACCAAAAGAGATCCATTGGCTTGATTCAGTAGACAAAATCGGATATTGGAAGAACCGATAAATAACCAGTAAGTGTTGCACAACAGCTGCCTCACACAACTCAGTAGCCTCACGGTAGACGATCTAGCGTTTGAAGCGATGTGTGCTAAGTCCGAATCTAAATGGTAACACAGTAATTCCCTGGGTTGCGGATATATTCAGCTGACGACTCCAAAATTGAACGAAACACATATCTCATTGCCAGCCAGCACCAAGTAAACAGGCGTATAATTTCTTTGTTTACTGATTTCAATCCTCATTTGATCTAAATTAGACATGTTGGAGCTCCCTGAATATTTTCTAAAAACACATTCATAATGTAATCAAGTGGCCTCATTTCCTTGCCATGCAACCCTGAAGGTACTCTCAGCTCATATTAAGCCAAATAAAAACTGACTACCCTACAGAATATTCAGTGAATATGACTTGCAATTGCGATTTTAAAGGTTGAGTAATTTTCCAACCTTTCTATTTAACACTTTCTACACTCACCTCTATTGATAAGTTATGTTCATTATCTTATTGGGCAGTTTATCACCGATTCCCTAGCTATATTGCACTGATATAGTAAAGGGAATAACTCATAGGTTTTCTGCCTGAAAACACTGACAGAGTTAAAGATCTTCAGTTTTAAAAAGACTCTTTGGAAACTTCGAAAACGTAATATTTCAAAATAATAACTGCTTTGTCAACTAGTGATTACTGTAATCCCTTAATTCTGAATGCACACCCAAAACTATATACTGAGAGAAATTTTCACCATTATTTAATGAAAAACAAGTAGTGATGAGCA